CCCTAAGAGTGATGAATCCTTATTTGACATTCCAGGAGTATGGGAAGAAAATAATCCTCCAGGACTTGCTCGTAATATCCCACCAATACATATTGAGTTAAAGTTCGGGGTGTATCCTGTTAGCCTTTGTATGTTGTTTTTTTATCTACCCCAAAAGCTGTAAAGGTGGCGGAAGTGACTCCTTGGATTCATCATTCTAAGGTTAAACCAGCGGCAGACTCTTGGCAAGCTACTCCAGATCCTGAGAATCCTTGCAGGACCCGGTTGAAGCGTGCAACTCAGTCAGAGTGACGAGGGGATAGCGAGACATTCTAGTTGAAAGTCTACAGAGATCATCAAGTAGGTGTTTTGACGGCCATAATAAAGCCTGACCACCTGCCTACGTGTCATAGCCAGAGTGTCTTGAAGGGATCTCTGTGAAGGAAAGTGAGGATCAGAAGAACAACATCCTTGCAGCCCTCACAATCGGGAAGCTGAGAGGCCATCGCACGGTTGAAGAAAAATGAGGATTTCAGGAATAATGTGTTTTATTATGTGTCTTAGTATTTTTATGATTTTTCAGGAAGGTAGGAGTACAGACTTACCGAATTGCGATAGTTGCATTAAGACTACTAAAACAGGTAACCAAATATCCCAAACTCTCATCTGGCACTCACAGTATGAATGTAAGGGATCTGTATCTAAATGTAGATATTTGGATATTGATTATAGTGTGTGCAAGCCAATATCAGGAGAGTCTAAATGTTTTGATCCCCAATTCCAACCCCGTACAATTTGGTTGGTAATTCGGAATAGTAACTCCCAGGGGACATTAATAAATAGGACTGTGATAAGCACCATACATTCCACGGGTATTCTACTATTTGATGCATGTAAGGCGATTTCGGGTAGTGGAAGACTTTGGAATGTATGTGGTAATCTTAAATGGGAACGAACTTATGGGTTTAATGATAAATACTTATGTCCCAGTAAAAGATCTACTGATCCTGATTGCCCAAATAGAGACTAACTTCTGCCCCTATTGGTCATGTGTAGGTTGGGCAACCTGGGAAAAACAGTGGATCAAGATATGATTATCCAAAGGTTGCCTACCACACCATACTGTAAAACTATGTGTGTAACCCCGTTCACATGACCATTTCCAATCTGCAGCACTTTATTGACAGGTTTGGAGGTCTGTTTGGGTTCCAAATATATGGCACAGGAGTAGATCCAGGAACAATAATATATGTAGGTCTTGAAACTGAGACAGTGGCAACTCAAACTCATCAGGTTTCTCATTCCTTCTATGAGGAGATGAGTATTGAGGATAAAATTCCCCATAATGTTAACAACCTATTTATTGATTTGGCTGAGGATTTTGCAGGTAGTCTTAATGTAACTAATTGCTATGTGTGTGGAGGTACTAATATGGGAGACCAGTGGCCATGGGAGGCAAAGGAAATATGGTACCCTGGCTCTGAGACATATGAACAACAGATACCTTTCCAGTCTGATCATCAAGTAAGTATTAGAAGTAAATTGGAATGGTGGTTAAAAACCTCCATTATAGGTCATGTTTGTATAGCCAGGAAAGGGACAATGTATAACACGTCTGTAGGTGAGCTAACTTGCTTGGGACAAAAAGCCTATAATGTTAATACTAAAAATCCTACTTGATGGTCAGCTTCAAATGTCTCGGAGCCTACTAATCCGTTTGCCAATTACACTCATTTAAAGGAGGTATGGTTTGACTTATCGGCTACATCTAGTTGGAAAGCCCCAGCAAATTTATACTGGATCTGTGGTAGGAAAGCTTATTCAGAGTTACCACAAGATTGGGAAGGGGCATGTGTATTAGGTATGCCAAAGCCATCCTTCTTCTTGTTGCCAATCGAAACAGGAGAGACCTTGGGAGTTAAGGTTTACGATGTAAATCATAAAAGGAGAGAGCATCCTTGAATATAGGTAGCTGGGAAGATAATGAGTGGCCCCCTCAACGTATTATTAATTATTATGGACCTGCTACTTGGGCAGAAGATGGCACTTATGGATATAGAACTCCGATATATATGCTCAACCGCATTATTAGACTACAGGCGGTAGTTGAGATTATTACTAATGAGACAGCTCAAGCGCTTAATCTTCTAGCTAAGCAAAATACCAGGATACCGTCAGCCATATACCAGAATAGGTTAGCCCTTGATTACTTACTAGCAGTAGAAGGAGGTGTATGCGGAAAGTTTAATCTAAGTAACTGTTGTTTGCACATAGATGATGAAGGGCAGACAGTGGCTGAACTTACAAGCCACATGGTTAAATTTGTGCATGTACCTACTCAGGTCTGGAATGGGTATAACCTAAGTAGTTGGTTTGGAAGTTGGTATGAGCAGCTTGGAGGAATTAAGACATTAGTAGGAGGAGTAGAATTTATTATATTTTTTTTGTGCCTCCTCCTGCCCTGTCTAATTCCACTAGTGGTAAGGTCCCTACGTATTATTATAGAGAGTACTATAGAGAGAAAGACAGCGGCTCATGTAATGGCTGTCTGGAAGATATGATCCCCTAGCCCGAAGAGAATATATTCAGGATGAAGAATGTTGAAGGAGTTTTTAAGATGCTTACAAGGTCTACTTTGGTTCAATGGCTACTTGAGAGATGTAGGTAAAACTGTGATTGGTGATGCATCTGGAATAATGTTATATCAGAGGCATCAAAGGGGGGAATGTGATGGGATTCCAGCATGGTCAAAATTTAGTAGGCCAAAATCTCCATGTGGCATATGTGTATGTTGTGTCAGTTGGTTAGCTACATGTAGCTAGGATACTGTCATCAGTGTACTGAGCATGTGCAGGAATGCAGGAACTGAAATTGCACTTATTTCCTTTGTCTTGGATGGGCCATGTGGTTTGACTAGATGTACAAGTCTATAGTCTGCTCATTGATTGGTTAAAGGTATATGTGGGTGTAGCTATTAATGGGAGGAGTTATAGTGCTATATAAGGAATGTACACTATGTGTTGGTCTCTCAGAATGTTGGAACAGGAGTTCATCTGAGACCCGATCGGTAATGTGAATAAAGGCCTGTTACTTCCTGAAGACCTGTGTCCAATATTTCTGTGTTTGGCTTCTGCATGCTTACACCGCAACAACATGACTACCCTCATGGGCTGGATTTTTCAGCTTGTTCTGCTATTTTTCATGTGAGATTTAAAATGAACTGCAATACCGGCGCCGGCCAGTAGGTGGCGCTGTGTATGGAGAGAGACAGGGATAGGAAGCTGCATCTATCCCTGCTTCTCTCTGCTGATTGAAACCGCAGGGGAGCAACACATGCAGCCAGAGACAGCCTACAGATCAGGTAAGTGAGGGATGGGGGGAGGGTTTGAGATAGCCTATAGATTTTTTTGGGGGGGCAGCAGCCTATAGATTAGGGAGTGAGGCTGGGGAGGGGGCAGAAGCCTATAGATTGTGGGAGGGGGCAGCAGCCTATAGATTAGGGGAGGTGGGGGCAGCAACCTATAGATTAGGGAGTGAGGCTGGGAGGGGGCAGCAGCCTATAGATTAGGGGAGTGAGGCATGGGGGGGCAGCAGCCTATAGATTAGGGGAGTGAGCATGGGGGGGCAGCCTATAGATTAGGGAAGTGAGCATAGGCGTGCGCAGCCTATTGCATTAGGGTGTGCACCCTAAAGCACAAACACACGCCATGTGTATATGTATATGTATGTGTGTATATATATATATATATATATATATATATACTGCTGTGTGAGGGTGCTGGTAGTGTGCTATGTGGGTGAGGGTGTTTTTGTGTGTGTTTGTGAGAGTGCTGTGTGTGAGGGTGCTGTTTGTGTGCTGTGTGTGAGGGAACTGGTAGTGTGCTGTGTGTGTGTGAGTGGGTGTTTGTGTGTGCGTGTTTGTTCGGGTCCTGTTAGTGTGCTGTTTGTGTGCTGTGTGTTTGTCAGGGTGCTGTTTGTGTGTGGGTGTGCTGTTTGTGTGTGTGTTTTGTGTGTTTATGAGGATGCTGTTAGTGTGCTGGGTGTGTGTGGGTGCTGTGTGTGCGAGGGTGATGTATGTGTGTGGGTGCTGTTTGTGGGCTGTGTGTGTGTGCTCTATGTTTGGGTGGAGGTGGGGGCAGATTAGTTAATATCCCAGTCCTGCTGCCTTCCCTGGTCTTTCAGTGGAGAGTGAACTCTAGCCCGGGTTCTCTGCTGCCTCCCTCCATGCTACTGTGGACCGGTGAGTAGAACTTTGATCTCCCCACTGGCCCGTGGAGGCTTAGACCAGAGCCGCCGCTCGGATAGCGTTGGCTCTGTATGAGCCGACCGAGGAGATCCAGAGATCTCCACTGCCGGTCTCAATCCATTGGCGTGCCGCAGGGATTAGGGTGTGCCCATGCACACCCGACACACCCCATGCGCACACCTATGGAAGTGAGGGATGGGGGAGACAGCCTACATGAAGAGTCAGCAAGGAGCAGGAAGGTAAAGTAAGAAAAGGAGAAGGAACAGAAATGAGCAGGAAGGGACATCAAGGAGCAGAAAGGGGCATCAAGGAGCTGGAAGGGACAGCAAGGAGCACAAAAGGTAAAGTAGGAGAAGGAGCACAAAGGAACAGAAATAACAGGAAGGGTCAGCAAGGAGCTGGAAGGTAAAGCAGCACAAAGGTAAAATAGAATGAGCAGAAAGGGTCAGAAATGAGCTGGAAGGGGCAGGAGGAGCACAAAGGTAAAATAGGAGAATGAGCAGGAAGGGCCTGCAAGGAGCAGGAAGGTAAAGGAGCAGAAAGAATCAGAAGGAGCACAAAGGTAAAGTAGGAGAAGGAGCAGAAAGGGACAGCAAGGAGCACAAAGGTAAAGTAGAAAAGGGAGCAGAAAGGGTCTGCAAGGAGCAGAAAGGGATCAGAATGAGAAAGGAGCAGAAGGGCGCAAAATAAGCAGAAAGTAGCAGAAGGGTAAAAGAGCAGAAGGGGCCAAGGATAGAAAACAGTGTCAGAAGAAGAAAAAAAAAAACAGTCAAATGAAGGAGAGGAAAAGGAGATTGGAGCAGGAAGGACAAATGAAGTGAACCCTCCTCTTTATTCTGGACACCACATCATAAGTCTTTGGTACCTGGGCCAGGCAGGGAAACGCTGGACCTTCTCATCTCCAAAGGTAACAAAATATCAGTATTAATGTGTTCACTTTTATTTACTGAGTGTCAGGAAGCGCAGAGTGCCGTTGGGTAGGGGTGTTGCTGATTGGCTAGAGCAGTCAGCTGGCACTCTAAGCCAATCAGTAGCTCCCCATTCATAAAAAAATAAAAATATTTTATGAACCGGGAACTAGCGATTGGCTTAGAGCGTCAACTGTCCACTCTAGCCAATCAGCGGCACCCATGCCTGACGTCAATCTGCACTTCCTGACACTCTGTTTCAGAAGCCAAATACCACTGAGCGACCCCTTAAAGGAAAGCGAGCACCCAGGGGTTTCCTGGCATCATAGCATTTTCATTTAGGTGAAATTGTTATGGTGACCAGAATGTTCCTTTAATTTGCTTAAAGGAACACTATAGTGTCAGGAATACAAACATATATTCCTGACACCATAGTTGTGAAAACGCTATTCACCCTGGATTTATGTGATAATGGCTATTCCCCTTCCCTTTCATGACACTGTCAAAAAGGGGCCAAGCATGGATGTCATTACAATTATGCCCCGCCCTGGAAAAATTCCTGCGGACGCCCATGACTACCCTGCTAGTGGGTTTTACATATTGAAATTATTTAACCCAGGGCTGTCCAACCTGCGGCCCCCCAGATGTTGCTGAACTACAACTCCCATGATTCCCTGGCTATCTGTTTCATTGAAAGAATCATTGTAGTTCAGCAACATTTGGGGGGCCGCAGGTTGGACAGCCCTGATTTAACCCAAGGTTTCCCTGTTTCATTTCACACATATATTTATATGGGACTCTACACACGCAGATGGGCCCTACGGCTGTCGGAACGCTATCACGGGCCTGCTATGTCTGTGCCCCCTTGATTGGCCTGCTATGTCTGTGCCTGTTTGAATGGCCTGCTATGTCTGTGCCTATTTGTTTGGCCAGCTTTGTCTGTGCCCATTCGTTTGGCCTGCTAGACCTGTGCCCTTCTGACGGGCCTGCTCTATCGGTTCTGAACCCCCTTTTGGCCCTTTTCACTGAGGAAAACCCAGTACCCACTAGTGACATGGAGATAGGTGGGTGTCCAGGCAAGTACCGATGCCATACTAACAAAGAGGACACCAGTATACGGCCACCTGAGTATGGTAGGAAGGGTGAACACCCTAAACCTCATGCCTGAAGGGCAAGATTTTTTATGAAGACCCCAGGCACGCAACCACGGTTTACACCAGCTCGGCGGCGGCACATCTCCAAGGAGAACTTCACACAGACGGGGACCAGTACTCCGACGCCTACAGGGGGACACAGTGTTTCCTTGTCTCTAACAACTAACCCTCTAGCTGCCTCCTGGTATCCATCTAGATATCGGTAGTTATTCTTGCGTAAGGTTAGCTCCTGGCCCTGTTCAGTGGGGCTTACTTGACTTGCCTTCTGGCCTGCTATTTACCTTCTATCCGAGATACGTATTTACTAGGCATGTGCATGGGGAAAATTTTCGGTTTGATTCGGCATTTCCGAAATTCAGGACTTTCGCAATTCGGGACTTCGGCAATTCGGCACTTCGGCAACTTCGGAACTTTGGCACTTCGGAAATTCGTCAACTTCGGAACTTTTTTTGCAGCCGCTTAGTAGATAACTCCCTAATTCCCACGGTATTAGGGAGTTATCTACCAAAAGGCTGAAAGACCTAAATTGGACCTAAAAATTACTTAGTATTAGTAAATGTTTCCCCTACTCGCTATACTGCGAGTAGGGGCATGTCTAGTAAACAGTGAGCAGCCTATGGCTGCTCACTGTTAAAAAATAAAAAAATAAAAATAGGGGGCCCCCACCCCTGAGCGGCAGGTGGGGGCCCTACAGAAAAATGAGGGGGGCCTAATGTTCTCCCCCCTGGCCCCCACCCCTGAGCGGCGGTTGGGGGCCCTAAATACTAATAATGTCCTAATATACTAATAATGTCCTAAATACCTAATGTCCTCCCCCTGGCCCCCACCCCTGGGCGGTGGGTGGGGGCCCTAAATACTAATAATGTCCTAATATACTAATAATGTCCTAAATACCTAATGTCCTCCCCCCTGGCCCCCACCCCTGAGGGGTGGGTGGGGGCCCTACAGTAAAATAAGGGGGGGACCTAATGTCCTCCCCCCTGGCCCCCACCCCTGAGCGGTGGGTGGGGGCCCTAAAAACTAATAAGGGGGAGAACCTAATGTCCTCCCCCCTGGCCCCCACCCCTGAGCGGCGGGTGGGGGCCCTAAAAAACACCCCCCAGGTGACCAGGGGTCCCCCCATAAAAAAAAATTAATGGGTGCGGCCCGCTCAGGCTATCAGCCGGACGCTGACACGGAATTCGGTCACATTATTAGAGAGCGCGGCTCTCTCATACACTCAACGCTCTACGGTGCCGTCCATTTGTTCATCACACAGGCTTGTACTGTTGTGTATCCAAATAATGATCTTTGTTATATTCAGAGGAAGCCCAAATTATTATTACAAGTGCACTTGGAGAAGCGAGAATTAGACACCAGACACCTGATGGTATTCAAAATAAGCCTCTGCCGTTTTATTCATCAGTTGGGTTTTATACATTAAAAAGTAAATGCTTACATGCAAATAGTCTTAGAACAGTAATATGAATGTAAGTACAGATAAGACATAGGGATGAACGTAATGTACACAAAACAAATAAGTTCCAAGGTAAGAAAGAACAAAAAGATTAGAGAAGAGACATCTCAGGTGGGGGCTCTCTGCTCCCGGAACTAGACATATATGGTCTTAAGTTTTGTGTTAAGCATCAAGCATTTCCTGAGTCCAAGTTAGCCAATTTTAATATAGGATATCATTATATGACACCTATAAGCTTGAGCCTTGGAATCAAAAATTCTATCACAGTACCTGTACAGGACAACGATGACTGCATAGAGGGGCATCCCTCCTGTATTCAATCAGATCTAACGACCGTGCTACCGATTTCGTTATAGAGGGCTGCCTGATCATGCAGGATATACATATTTAGACTGGATCCTTCTATTTCATCTCCTGTAATGGATCTACTGGATCCGGACCACTGTACCACACGCGAGAAATACTCACAGAGGTTTAATGGGGGGAGACTCCCACTTATTTACATACACTCCTGGAGACGGTATGGCTAACGGATGAGCCTCGGGTATTACAAGAGTGCAGGTTTGGTATATTCTGCGCTATATAAAACAGACAGTTGCATTCTGTTTCGCTTATCCGGACCATTGCGAACACACTGCGCAGACAGTTTTTCCCATATCAAGATGACATGAGATACTGAGACATTCATGGAGCAAACGAGCACTGTTTTGCTCAGGTAACAAGACTAGGGAAGGCCCACTACCCGGTCTGCAGGTACACCATATGCATGGATCGCATGGTAAGACCGGAAACCCCGGTTGTCTTGAGTTCCCTGGTTATTACAATCTTGGGATAAGATGGCAGGACTGCCCCTGCTCCTCTGAGCACATACCTGGAGAACATGGTTCGGAGATGGAGGGCCCTCCGTCTATACTCTATATCCCTCACGGGAGCCGTCTTGGTTTGGGTTCGCACTAACCCACTTTTTCTACTATCATCAAGGAGACCTACGAAACTCTATGGAGGAACCCGGTGTGCCCCGACTCCTACACGGACGTCAGTCAGGTCGCAACCTGACTTGAGGAGTACGGCTCAGGATGTGTAGCAGACTCAGATAGGGCTGCCGACATTCTCAAACGGGACAACACATGATTCGGACGGCTGAGGCTAGACCCTTCTTTTTTCGCTATATCTGCTCTCTGGAGTCACCTGTCGTGAGCGAACTTTACGCTTTGCCTGCGTATTGGAGAACGCTATGTGTTCACGGGACTCCAAGCTAAGAAGGGAGGTATCCCTCTATAGGGAGACTTTGACTTCGATTATCGAACTCTCATTCCTGGGTCCCCTGACCTAGGGCCTACTCTGAGAGATATGTGCCCGGACAGCCAGGGGTACAGGGATCTAGGGGTCTCACTATATTATACCTTATCTTGTACGTGGCATGTAGACCAGGAACCCCTACACAAATTTTCATAGGTCGGGCATGGAACAAGATCGTACGATGGGTAATCTGACTATTTCACTCTCTCACTACAGCACGAGAGGACTCTTCATGTTATACAGGTCCCAATCACCATTGGATCAGTACATCTTATCACTCTTAGACAATGACATCTGGATGGAAATCTCAACTCCGGTTTACGTTTTCCATCCCTTTGAATATTTCCAGGACCCACTATTCCCATAATAGTCGACCACCGTTCCACCACACAAGTTCCGTTTAGGATCCTGACTGGACGTCCATTTTTGGAGTCCTTTCTCTACCGCAGCCGAGGATTACACAGTCCATTTGGAATATTGGAATCACGTAGGATACGGATAGTTTGACCACACTCTTGCCTGCATAATACATTTATTTTCGGATGACACATCTCACCGGGTAGGCCATGAGGGAACGAAAGATCCTACTCGGTTCTATTACGGAATTGGTGGTGGACTTAGGTGCATTCCTTGAGATTGGAGATCTACCTGCAAGGCTACATCGTTGGGTGACCCTGGCATGATCAGAGGAGCCACCTTACACATCAAGAGTTGAGACATGGTGGCAGTGTCTTCTCGCGGCCCTAAGTCCTCAAATGACCTTCGACATCTTACAACTACAGAAAAATGGCTAATAGGCCAGTGTGACGAGACCAATCTCGCCACATTGCATTGGAGAAGCCTGGTTGCTCGCCTGTTGCCTTTGGATTATGGCCCCATGTTAAAAGGCTTGATTTTCCCCTGCAAAGACACAAAAGCCGGGTCATTTGGTGCTTGCCCTGTTTGAGCAGTGATACCCCAGATAGCTACGCCATGGAGCCCATTCGTATAACGAAAGACTATGGGAAAGACTTTGGCTCCATGGCAATTGAACTGTATGTGTGTGCTCTGAGCGCCATTCAGTAATAATGTGCACTCAGATCTGAGCTATCTGGGGATATGTTGAATGTACCTGTTTTGTGCAATGGCTGCACAGTTATATGTTTTTATGTGTTTTATTGTCTTTT